TGGTGAAAGCTAAAAGATGTAAAGTAAAATGAGTCAAATATACTTTAAATGCTGCATGAAACTGATCTTGCCATGTCATCTGTAAGCTCTTTGAATCACTAAGGAACGTTTTTTTTATTTGTTGATTTTTATTTTTATTTTTTCAAATTTTCAAGTACACTTCAGGTGTTGTACTTGTACTACACTGTTCTCAGGCTCCAACCTTGTTTTATATTGATTGTATTAAAACAAAGAAAACAATCTGAAGGTTTTTTTTTTTAATTTACCGGTCCGGCCCACTTGGGACAAGATTTCCCTCAATGTGGCCCCTGAGCTAAAATGAGTTTGACACCCCTGTCCTAGGGTGTTGCCAACTTGGCGACTGACATTATTTCTAACAGCTTCTCAGACCCCCTTCTTGACTTTTTAAATCTTAAAAGTACCTAGCGAGCACCTCAGAAACATCTCTGGTAACCCTTAGCTACTTTCTGGATAACTGTCGTCGACGTTTCCTGCAGGTTAGCTAAACACTCCGCCTGCACTCCGGACCGTTCTTCAGGACATTAGGAAAGGGAATGATGTAGTGATGTGTCGGTCGCTAAAGAAACAGCTCACGGAGCCGGCTCCCTGTTGGAGTAACCAGAGTGAGTGACACACACACCGCACCTGCGGACTCCTGAGCCGCTAAAAACGGCTAAATGTGCACGTGCTAAACACACGTGCAGCTTGCCCCGATTGCTGTGAGATCGGGGTGGGGGGTGCAGCTGTGGTTGGGACATTTATTACATTAACTGATGGACCTGTAAATAAATAGTTTATAAATAAGGTAGAAATAGATAGAAGTAAGTTCCTCATGCTGATAAATAACTAATCTCTCTGAGGACACGGTGCTAGTGTATTCTCCTACAGCACCTTGACACAACTTCAATAAATGTTATGCAACATTTTGTGAACATCAATTTATTTGCATTTATTTGTTATAAATGCCACTGTATAATTCTTGCTGTCAGTATTTGCAAGATATTGGTATTTGGGTCTGTACTGGTTAGACTTAAATGAGTTAAACCAAGGTCTATAGCCCTTGGGTCATAAACTATGAGCTATAAGTATATTGGTCTTTTTATACTGGGAATCAGGAGTTATTTTAGTGATCATCTTGTTTCTTTTTTATTTTTGTCCTAATTGTGCCCTGAGCCATTTTATGACTGAATAAAAACAAATAAAATCAACATAAATAGAAAAATCGTCCTAAATAATCGTGATCTCAATTTCAGTCACCATAATCGTGATTATTATTTTTGCCATAATCGATCAGCCCTATAAGACACTGTCCAAAATAGACAATAGAATAGTAATCCCTATTGAAAAATGGGAGGTGGATCTATCAGTTAGCTTTGACCAGAACTTCTGGTCCCAAACTTGTTTAAAAACTTTTAAAATGATCAGACACTCCAATTTCCAATTAATTCAGTACAAAATTCTACACAGAGTACACTATGCAGGTCATCGGATGTTCAAGATAGGGTTTGTGTCATCTGACACCTGTACACACTGCACAAACAACATTCCTGACAATTACATTCATGCACTGTGGTCCTGTCCACCTGTCCAGGAATTTTGGGGTAGAGTGTGTGAAGACCTGTCAAAGTCTCTGAAATGTCATATCCCAACCACCCCATCTCTTTGTTTACTGGGAATTCTGGACGATGTCCCGATTGAAACATCTGTGGTTCACGTGGTTCTGACTGCCATATGCATCGCTAAGAAAACTATCCTCTTGAATTGGAAAAATAGAGAAACTCTTTGCATTAACCAGTATAGAAATATTTTGTTAGATCATATTACACTTGATATAGCCTCTGCTTCCACTTCAGATCAATCTCTCTGGGCTCCTTTGATCGGTTCCATCACATAGCAAGGGTGGGGGGCCGTTGATGTTGTTCTGCGGGATGGTGTGTGTGTGGGGGGGGTCTGAGTTTGGAGTACCCGGATGTTCCCTGGAGGTGGGTTCACTGGGGGTGTCTGGGACTCGGGGGCCGTTGCCCCCCCTCTGGAGGTGCTTGGGTTGCCTTGGGGGGTTGACTGCTGGCGGTTGTGAGTGGGGCCCCTTGGGGATCTTGGCGGTGACCATGGGTCATTGCCTGGCTGCTGCATTGCCCCTGGGCGGGTCTGGGTGGGGGCCTAGGGGCTCGGGGTTTGGGGGTGGTCGGCCACGTGTGGGGATCTGGGCGGGGCCTTGGGGGTCGGGTCCTAATATGTATGCTGCCGGGAAGAAGGCAGGAACATGCAGCAGTGCCTGGCCCGGGTTCGGGGGCCTCAGGTAGACCTTGGCTCCTCTGCCGTTCCATCACAGGGGAGGGGGAGGTCCTGGAGGGGGAGGACCCAACCTTACCTGGATGTCCCATGTCTTATATATTCTGGAAGTTGTGCAAATGCAGGGATGGGCATAGATATTCTGCTGGGGTGGGGCTGGGTTGGTGCCCTCGGACTCCGTGAGGCTCTGTAATGCTGCTGCTTTGGGCCCTGGCAGGATGGGCTGGGGTCTCCATGCCCTGGGTGGCAGTTTGACAACAGAGGTGCCTATTGGGGCCAGTAGGGGAGCTGGCTCCCTGGAGGGCTAAGCCCAACCAGCCATTCCTCCCCATCCCCGCATATTTCTCTCCTCCTGCTCCCTCACATCATCACACAAACATACACATAGGACCTTGGGGGGTGGGCAAGTCAGGGAGTGCGGGTATGGATCCCATTTCCGCATTCCTGTGGCAACCTGCCCCCCAACTTTATTTGCACCTTATACACTTCCACTGACGACATTCCACACAAACACACACTTAGGGCCTTGGGAGTGAGCACATTCAACGGCATTTGGCAGGGGGATATCTCAGCCTCCTCCCGGGTGCCGGTGCCCACTTCCAATTTTAAACCGCACTTAAGCCCCATTCCCACCTGTACCGGGTCGGCCCGGGCCAGGTAGCGTAGGTTGTTTACATATCTGGGTGGCCTGGAATTTTCCCGGGCCAACCAAGGCTCATTCTCGGCCCTCTTCCCGAGGGGTACTGCTTCAGGCCGACCAGGGCCAACACGCCCACTGCTGACAGCAAATTCACACCTTCCATTAGAGCAAGCCTCTGATTGGTGGGTAGAATCAGCCCATTCACACCTTCCATTAGAGCAAGCCTCTGATTGGTGGGTAGAATCAGCCCATTCACACCTTCCATTAGAGCAAGCCTCTGGTTGGTGGGTAGAATCAGCCCACATGGGCTTAAGGCAAGGATGTGTGGAATCAACCGGGCCAAGCTGGGGCCGACTGGGGCTACCCGGCCCGGGCCGACCCGGTACAGGTGGGAATGGGGCTTTAGACACAGAGGGCTGAGGGTGTAAGTGGGGTGGTGCGGTGGCATCAGCTGGCATAGGCCGGATGATGCCCACACTGCCCGCTCACCACAGCCATGGAATACAGCTCATAATCACACAACACTATATTGGAGCAGGCGGAGGGAGACTAGGGGTCTTAGCCACTTCTGTTGTTGCTAGGCTTCCTGGGGCTGGAGGCTAGGAGGGAGATCTGGCCATCTGGTTGGGGTCTGGGGTGGTAGGTTGCTGTGCTCAGCTTTGGGCGGGGGAGCCTGTTCATCAGCACCCCAGCAGAAAGGGTCAAACTCTGGTTACCGGTGACGGTTGTACCCCATGTGCAGCAGTACCGGGACCAGAGTGAATAGGGTGTGTATGGAGAGCATGAGTGGGTGTCCGGCGTGCATTTTTGTAAGTCTTGGGTTGTATGTGCATGTGTGAGCATGAGGGAGGGAGTGTGTGACTGTGTTTGCTAGAGGTGTGAATCTTCACTTGTCTCCCAATTCGATTCGATTACGATTATTGGGTCAACGATTCAATTTGATTCGATATCCCGATGCATCACGATTATTTCATATTGATTTGTTTTCATCGATAAATAGAACATGTCAGATAATTGCTTTTTTTTAAATCAAAAACGTAATTGATACAACCTGTCAGCCCTCAAAAGCTCTCCATTCACAACAGGTTAGGACAAAACATTTTAAACATTTAAGAAGATTTAACAAAGCAAAACATCTGTTTCCTCTTTCAACACCACGCCTCAAGCTGAGAAAACACGCTTTACAAAATCTCACAAAATCTAAAAAAGTACTGAAAACCCACAGGACACAACATAATGTAATAATCAGATACAATAATGGGTTCATATATGAGTGTTTAATGTCTCTGAGCAGCTCTAGAGTCAGATATTCATGCCACAGTTGAAGGGTGTCAGAAATAACACCAAATGAAATGTTTGACTTAGTTTATTTTATTTGAACCCAGTGGTTCGTTTCTGAAATGTTGGAGAATGAATCAAGTTCTGTTTGATGCAGAAAATAAAACATAAAACAAATTCTACACTTCCAATAATATTTAAGATGTGTGTTTTATTCTTTCTGATAATAACACCAGCAGAAGGCTGTGGGCTGGATTAGGATTAAATTACCCAGGTGATGGATCTCCTTCACTAACCAGCTAACTACAAACCTTTCCACTGACCTGTCCTGTGTGACCCTCACCATGTAACCCTCATGTCCATTCGGAGGAGCAGATAGAGACAAGACCTCCTGTAACTTAAAATGAACCAAAGCTTCCTCCCAGTTTTTTAAAATAGAATTTAACATCAGTTTATCATCATGAAACAAAAGAATAAAGTGGAACAAGAACTTCTTTCTTCTATTTCTCTCTCCTTTTAATTTCTCCGTGTCCCAAAATAAAATACAGACGATCACGCTGCAGCCGCCGTCATTGACCCCGCCCCCTCCCCAAGACCGGATCTCCCTACATTACAACAAGCAGTCTGACTGAGCGCTTCCAGGAGAAATAATAATTAAATTATGAAAATAATAATGCGTGTTTGGAGCATCGGTTTGGAGGGGCGTCCTCCGATCCTCTCGTGTGAGCAGTCCCCCCCCCCCCCCTCCCCCCTCTCAGTTGCTGTGCGAGCAGAGCGCGCCGCATGACAACCCGCTCAGTTAAAGGCACAGTCTGCAAGATTTAAATGTAGAATAACTTTAAAAATGTTTTATTTTGACCATCTGACCCAATTTTATTAAAAAAAGTAAATAATATTTAATATTTCAATTTTCTCCTAAGTCCCTCCCCTGCCCTGTAGAGCTCAGCCAATATTTCTGCAAGCCTAACGCGTTGACCAATAGCGCTGCGTTTCCACCAGGGGGCAGCTGTCAGTCATCGAGCACGAGCATTAGATCTCAGCGTGCACAACAGTGTCACGCGCCTCACTCGGCTTACTGCAGAAACATGGAGCAACAAAACCCCAAATTACCGATTCCTCGACTGCCTTCCACATCTCAAAAAACATTTAAAAAGTTTAAAAGCCCTTCTTCAAAAGTGGTTGTAAGACGTTTGAGACAGTTGAGTAGAATTAACATTGGAGATTGTTTTAAACGGTGGAGAGATTTTCGTGATCTACACGGCCTGAAAACGGATGAAGAGTTGGCAAAGTATCTTTTAGACAGGTAAGTTATTTATTGTTTTTCGGATACATTTACTTCAAATCTTTCTTTCACTGAAAGAAGTAATAGAGCAAACCAGCTTTGTATGCTTGGTGTCCTATTGGCTAATGTAGCATTAGCTTGAATGCTAAGTCGACATGAATCGATGCTAGTCGAACAATTAATGCTATTTTTTGAAGAAGTTTGAGTAACGAAAGGGGATTTTAGTTTTTTTTATATGGGAGCTAATGATTAGTGTGGCGTTTAACTATAGGCCATATCATTGTATTGTTTTAAGCTCTTGTTTATAACTTCCCCGTTAGCAGGGTTCAGTTAGCATCTTGAATGCTGAATTAGATGTTTACACTTTCCTGAGCTGCGTGTTTGATTAAAATGAGTAATCAGCAGCTCATGTAGCACTTGTAGAAGTCTGAGGAGATGATTCAGCAGTTAGAATTAGGTGTGATTGATCAGGAACGTATCCAAAACCTTACGTTTCCATTAGCACCGAAGGACATATTGTGCTAACCTGGGTGGGCCACGTGTACAGATTACTGTCTGAGTTTGTGGTCTTACCTACGTGAAAACTCCATATTAAAATAAAAGGAATGATAATCAGCTCGTGCAAAAATCTGTGAAGGCTGGGGAGACTTGTTTAGCTTGTGATCACTAATTTTTGGGCTTTGTTTTTGACAGTCATCAGTCCAAATATGAGGCATCAACATCTACACCATTGAAGCGCCAACTGTTTATTTCTCCAACACCAGTGCCAGCTCTGTCTAGCATTCATGGAGAGTCATCTGAAAGGTAAATAGCTGCCTATAAACCTCTACCAGGAATATTATAATTTTGCCTCTGTTTGTTTTAAGTTAGTGGTGGATTATTTTGAAAAAATTCTAGAAATGGGATAATGAATGACTATAGAAAATGTATAGAAATAAATAGTAAAACTACATTTTATATAGCACCTCTCAAGATAAAACTCTTGAGGCACTTCACAACAACAAAATTAAACATATTTTAAAAAATTATATTTTTATTTCAAAGTTTATGAGAAAAAAATAATGCAATTGTGTTTTTAAAATGTAAAGAGAGAGACAGGAAATTATTTGTAAAGAAGGAATTCAGTGGATCCACAGAGAAATGCGTAATAAGTAGAGGGAGAAAAATGAGGAGAGGGTGATGATGACGGCCAATAGACAAGCTCTATTACCTTCAAAATGATAAAATATGTATTGATTCTAATCATGTGCTTGTATTTTATTTTCATAGGGATGATAATTTGGAGGAGGTGATGGAACAAGGTGAAACTAAAAAAGAAGGATCTTCACAAATGTAAGTACAAGGTTGTATCTGTATTTGGCTGTCACATTTGTCAGGAAAAGTAAACAATAATTATTTTTTTAGGTTATCTTGTGTGGGAATTGAAGCAAACATTGATGAGGAAGAGTTCAACAATATTCAAAACTCTGTGTAAGTATTCAGATGTTAATAAAATGTGTCTAATTTTCCATACTAAAAACTTTATATTGTGTATATTCAGGATAGAGTCATCAGATGACACATGGTCACCAAACAGAGAACCAGAAGTTGATTCGTCTTCAGAGGAGGACAAAACCATCGAGATGGACAGCGGTACTGATGACAGCGGTGATGAGGACTACACACCTTATACACACATAAGGTAATTCCTTTCGTTTAACATTCTATAAAACTGCAATAGCGCATAGTTAATAAAAAGCTTTTGTTCACAGGACTGGAGCGGCATTACAAAAAACATTACAACTTGAGACTCTGCAAGAAATTAACATTGTGGATACAGTTCATGACTGTAATATCCCAGAAGCAACTGATGCAACACCTGTACCAGATAAAGTAGTGGTCAACATTCCTGGAGACATAATTGGTCAACCGGTTTCCATGGTGTACCACAAGTGTATCCAGCAGCTTGCAGAGTTCCTTCTCTTGCCAGTCCAAGTATGTACGGAGAAAGACCCACAAACATCTGAGGAATGTGGTGCCTCTGCACCATTCATTATCAACATTTCTTCACGAGGAACAGCTATGATTGTCAAATGGGTATGTTCTTGTACATAACAATCCTTCAACCTAAACCTTCCAAGATATTTGCTAATATTTCTGTCTTTTACAGTGTTGTCCCAAGAGCCACGTTGTTTGGCAGTGGAATTCTCAGCCAACGTTCAAATTTGGGATGCAAGCTGGAGATTTTATGCTCTCTTCAAATATACTCCTGTCAGGCAACAATTTTGCAAAAATTGCCCTCATGTTTAAATACATGAATATGGGCATGGTGACCCGCAACACTTTTTTTTTCAGTCCAAAATGCATATTGTGTGGACACCATAAAAGAATACTGGACTGAAAAAAGGACAGATATTATTTCTGAGGTGAAAGAAAGAGGACATGTTGTTGCACTAGGTGTGTTGGTATTTTTATCTATGTAATAAATGTTATGCAATATTTTAAACAACAAATAGTTATGCCTAAAATCTGCTCCAACAGGTGATGGGAGAATGGATAGTCCTGGCTTCTGCGCACAGTACTGTACATACACTTTGATGGACAATGATACCAGAAAAATACTCTCCATTGAAAACGTCGATAAGAGAGAAACTCAGAGGAGTTCTACAATAATGGAGAGGGAGGCTTTCATCAGAAGTGTTGACAAGGTTAGCCAAGAAGTGAAACTATCAGAAGTTTGCACTGATGCCCATTCACAAATATCTGCTCTTTTCCGTAAGTATAACACAGTTTTGCACAAAACACACATCTTTAACCATTATTAGTATTGCCTTACAGTTCATTTTATCTGTGTCAGGAAAAGGAAAGTACAAAGACAGTGGAATTGAGCACACCTATGACATGTGGCATGGTGCAAAGAACCTGAGCAAAAAAATACATGCGGTACGTGGCAATTATAATATATAATAACTATAACGATGCTTTTGATGGACTTTATATATATTTTTTAACAGGCAGGTCAGCAAAGGGGATGTTCCATTTTATTACAGTGGAACAAAGATATCTGTAACCATTTTTGGTTTTGCTGCAAGTCGGCGAACACTTATGATGAGTTTTTTGTAAGTACATTATTTGTATTTTCATATAAAAAAAAGTGAATGTAACTAATCGCCACATGTCTTTTAGGACATGTGGATCGGTCTACTCCATCATGTTACTGGAGAACATGAGTGGTCTCTGGATGCTTGTCAGCATGATCCTTTACTAAGTGACAGAGAGAAAGACTGGATTCAGAAAGGCTCCACTCCTCACAAAGCCCTCAGTGACATCATTCTCAGTGAACGCTGGCTGAAAGAAGTCCCAAAATATTTGAAATTCAGGTACTGTATTTAATTATAGCTATAAATAATAATATAATTGTTCTAAATGTTAAATTCTTGTTTTAGATCTACAGCAAATTTGGAGGCGTTTCACAACCATCTCCTAATGTATGCAAGCAAAAGATTCAGTTACATCCCACCTGTTTACGAGGCACGGATACTGCTTGCTGCACTGGACTACAAACACCACTCACATCGAGAAGTGAAGAGGAGAGCAGATGGATCGATACAGTATGTATTTATTTATTTATATTTTAAATGAAACATACACTCATGAATTCATGATTCATTTTTTATTAACAACTTCCTCAGATGAACAACCACAACGCTCCTAACTGCTACATATTGGTTTAACAACATGCTGTCAGGTGGCCAACTGTAGAATAACAGAAACACCACATTTTCATACTCCTCCTTGAACCGTCACCTTATCGTGGTGGAGGAGTTTGAGTGCCCTAATGATCCTAGGAGCTATGTTGTCTGGGGCACTTAGTGCCCCTGGTAGGGTCTCCCATGACAAATTGGTCTTAGGTGAAGGGTGAGACAAAGAACGGTTCGAAGGATCTTTCATGGCGGTGAAAACGAAGAGTCGGAGTACCCGGCCCGGAGGGTTACCGGGGTCCCACCCTGGAGCCAGGCCTGGGGTTGGGGCCCGTGAGCGAGCGCCTGGTGGCCGGGCTTTCGCCCATGGGGCCCGGCCGGGCCCAGCCCGAACCGGATACATGGGCTCGTCCAACTGTGGACCCACCACCCGCAGGAGGAACATGAAGGGTCCGGTGCAATGTGAATCGGGTGGCAGACCAAGGCGGGAGCCTTGGCGGTCCAATCCCCGGACAAGGAAACTAGTTTTTGGGACATGGAACGTCACCTCGCTGGCAGGGAAGGAGCCGGAGCTTGTGGCAGAGGTTGAGCGGTACCGGCTAGATATAGTCGGACTCACCTCGACACATTGCATTGGCTCTGGAACCCGAGACCTGGAGAGGGGTTGGACACTCTACTTTGCTGGAGTTGCTCCGGGTGAGAGGCGGAGGGCTGGGGTTGGCTTTTTGTTAGCCCCGAGACTCTCTGCCTGTGTGTTGGGGTTTACCCCGGGGGACAAGAGGGTAGCTTCCTTGCGCCTTCGGGTCGGGGAACGGGTCCTGACTGTTGTTTGTGCGTATGGGCCAAATATCAGTTCAGAGTACCCACCCTTTTTGGAGTCCCTGGGACGGGTGCTAGATAGTGCTCCATCAGGGGACTCCATTGTCCTGCTGGGGGACTTCAATGCTCACATGGGCAATGACAGCTTGACCTGGAGGGGTGTGATTGGGAGGAACGGCCCACCTGATCAGAACTCGAGCGGTGTTTTGTTATTGGACTTCTGTGCAAGCCGCAGTTTGGCCATAACGAACACCATGTTCGAACATAAGGATGCCCACCGGTACACTTGGTACCAGGGCAGCCTAGGTCACAGGTCGATGATAGATTTTGTAGTCGTATCATCTGACCTGCGACCGTATGTTTTGGACACCCGAGTGAAGAGAGGGGCGGAGCTGTCAACTGATCACCACCTGGTGGTGAGTTGGATCAGATGGCAAGGGAACATGCCGCGTAGACCTGGCAGACCCAAACGCATAGTGAGGGTCTGCTGGGAACGCCTGGCAGAAGAACCTGTCAAGACGGTCTTCAACTCCCACCTCCGGCAGAGCTTTGACCACGTCCCGAGAGCAGTGGGGGACATTGAGTCCGAGTGGGCCTTGTTCCACTCTGCGATTGTCGAGGCGGCTGTTGCTAGCTGTGGTCGTAAGGTAGCCGGTGCCAGTCGTGGTGGCAACCCCCGTACCCGCTGGTGGACACCAGAGGTTCGGGGAGCCGTCAGGCTGAAGAAGGAGGCCTACAGGGCGTGGCTGGTCTGTGGGTCTCCGGAGGCAGCAGACAGGTACCGGATAGCCAAGCGGGGTGCAGCAGTGGCAGTTGCCGAGGCAAAATCTCGGGCGTGGGAGGAGTTTGGTGAGGCCATGGAGAAAGACTATCGATCGGCTCCAAAGAGGTTCTGGCAAACTGTCCGGCGCCTCAGGAGAGGAAGGCAGCAACTCGCTCACACTGTTTACAGTGGGGATGGGGAGCTGCTGACGTCAACTGAGGCTATAGTCGGACGGTGGAAGGAATACTTTGAGGAGCTCCTCAATCCCACCAATGCGCATTCCGAGGAGGAACCAGAGCTGGGAGGCCTGGGGATGGACTGTCCGATCTCGGGGGCAGAAGTTGCTGAGGTAGTCAAACAACTACACAGCGGCGGAGCCCCGGGGGCGGATGAGGTTCGTCCTGGGTATCTCAAGGCTATGGATGTTGTAGGGCTGTCATGGTTGACACGTCTCTACAACATTGCGTGGTCATCGGGGGCAGTTCCTAGGGAGTGGCAGACCGGGGTGGTGGTCCCCATCTTTAAGAAGGGTGACCTGAGGGTGTGTTCCAACTATAGGGGGATCACACTCCTCAGCCTCCCTGGAAAGGTCTACTCCAAGGTACTGGAGAGGAGGGTCCGATCGATAGTTGAATCTCAGATAGAGGAGGAGCAATGTGGTTTTCGTCCTGGCCGTGGAACTGTGGACCAGCTCTATACCCTTGCAAGGGTGATGGAGGGGGCATGGGAGTTTGCCCAACCAATCCACATGTGCTTTGTGGATTTGGAGAAGGCTTATGACCGTGTCCCCAGGGGCACCCTGTGGGGGACGCTCCAGGAGTATGGGGTGGGTGGCTTTCTGTTAAGGGCCATTCAGTCCCTTTACCAGAGGAGCGTGAGTTTGGTCCGCATAGCCGGTAGTAAGTCGGACCTGTTCCCAGTGAGGGTTGGACTCCGCCAGGGCTGCCCTTTGTCACCGGTTCTGTTCATCACATTTATGGACAGAATTTCTAGACGCAGCCGTGGTGTGGAGTGTGTCGAGTTTGGTGGCAGGAGAATCTCGTCTCTGCTTTTTGCGGATGATGTGGTCCTCCTAGCTTCATCCAGCTCTGACCTTCAGCTCTTGCTGGGTAGGTTCGCGGCCGAATGTGAAGCGGCTGGGATGAGGATCAGCACCTCCAAATCTGAGACCATGGTTCTCGACCGGAAAAGGGTGGCTTGCCACCTCCGGGTCGGGGGAGAGGTCCTACCTCAAGTGGAGGAGTTTAAGTATCTCGGGATCTTGTTCACGAGTGAGGGTAGGAGGGATCGGGAGATCGACAGGCGGATTGGTTCGGCGTCTGCAGTGATGCGGACGCTGAGCCGATCTGTCGTGGGGAAGAGGGAGCTGAGCCAGAAAGCCAGGCTCTCGATTTACCGGTCGATCTACGTCCCAATCCTCACCTATGGTCATGAGCTTTGGGTAATGACCGAAAGAACGAGATTGCGGATACAAGCGGCCGAAATGAGTTTCCTCCGTAGGGTGGCCGGGCTCAGCCTTAGAGATAGGGTGAGGAGCTCGGACATTCGGGAGGGACTCGGAGTAGAACCGCTGCTCCTCCGGATCGAAAGGAGCCAGTTGAGGTGGTTTGGGCATCTGGTCAGGATGCCTCCTGGACGCCTCCCTGGGGAGGTGTTTCGGGCATGTCCTGCCGGCAGAAGGCCCCCGGGTCGACCCAGGACACGTTGGAGAAGTTACATCTCCAATCTGGTCCGGGAACGCCTTGGGGTCCTGCCGGAGGAGCTGGTGGACAAGGCCGGGGAGAGGACGGCCTGGAGCTCCCTAGTTGGGATGCTGCCCCCGCGACCCGGACCCGGATAAGCGGAGGAAGACGAGACGAGAGACGAGACCACATTTTCAATAATAGTGCCTCCAGGTGAGGCTTACCTAATTTACTTTTAATTTAAAACACTTTTTCAGCTAATTTGTTGTATACTACAAGTTAGAGCCCTGCACGGGCCTAAAATCTGAGCCCGTGTCCGGCCCGGCCCGAGGGGGTGGAGCCCCAGCCCGACCCGGTCCGAAAAGGTTTTCAGGATTCTCTGGCCCGACCCGAGCCCGACTTTTTTTTAACCAACTAAATGAAAACAAAGTGCGTCAATCCTGACCAATGTGTTAAAAGACGTGCAGGATCCGATCAATTTGTTTTTCCCTCATTTACCGTCACAGAGATAACGGCGCAGGCTCTGGTGGTAATCAAGTTAAATTTGATCTCTTTCCAACAATTTTCACAAGAAAACAGAACAGTTAAAAGCAGGGCTTGTGTTGACCGGATAGTTCCCGTATTTGACCGTTTATTTTGACGGAGAAAGAATAGAAAGAATTACCCCGACGCATGCAGACGCACTGACATTTTATTCTACGCACATTGCAGATGTAGCTAAATCACCCAAGAAAAGATTCCCATCTGAACATCTGAGCTGGACACTGCTCAGCGCAGCTCGCTGTCAGTGTGTACGTATGGTGCACAGCGAGCTGAAGTTGTGGAGATTGGCTTGGAGAGCGTTGCAGAACCAGAGCGCATGCGGGAAGGTTCCTCCCACTGAAGCGAGTGTTTTCCAAACCCGGTCTCTCAGAGAGACTTGTCACTTAGGAAATGTTCCCTGATTATGAAACTTTGGCTGAATAGTGCTTGCTCCTGTTTCCAATGTGGCGACACATCCAGGAGACTGTCTGAGGAGAAACCCAGAATCTCACATCCTCTTCAGCTCAGGAAGCGCCTATGATTACGCACAAGCGTGACCCGTCAACCCGGTCTCACAGTCAGACTGGATTGGGCCTGTTCAGGTTTACGCAGACAATCTTTACATTTAGATTTGACTTACAGATGTAAAATTAATTCAGTAAAATATAAAGCATTTTATTTAAATATCCATTCATTATTTTACAAGCACAGAGAGCCGCCTACAAAGTTTAATTACAACAATCAAACGTGACAAAGCCTGGATTTGTATTCTGAACAGTCTAAACATGTGTTAAAAAGAAACGTATGACAAAAGTGGCACCTGCTCAGTAACACCACCAACAGGGTGAAAAATATCAAAATATTGTAGGCATACAGGCTACAACTTCTGGATCCACTTTATATAAATAATTTTATTGATTATCGTCTTATGAAAGATAACTTTGACGTACACGAGCGACCGGTACTGGCTGCTGTCACCTGTTGTGAGCAGCTCTCAGCTGTCTGAGGGTAGGCCCCGCCCACAACGCCGCGGCTGCTGTGGCTCCCAGTGTTTTCTTTACTTTGGGAAACGGGTAATAATGGCTCTTTGATGGGAACAGGTTGCCGACCCCTGGTTTAAGTGTTTCAATTTTTTTAATGAATTCGTTTAAAAATAAAGGAGCCTGGCCCGAGGGCCGTCGGGCTGGGCCGGCCCGAGGGCCTAGGGCTTCAGTGCAGGGCTCTACTACAAGTTATGGCATGTGTCATTTCAGATACCATAAAATATTCAACAAAAAATCAAGATGCTGGAGGCTGTATTCTGAGAAGGTGGCAAAAGACTACTCCTACATCCCAGAGATCCAAACCATGATCGTCAACCAACGTTTGACAAGCAAGAAAGATCTTCCTTGACGCTACAAGCTAAGGCCTGAGGATCCAAGGCGTTACGGTTTGCTGTCCGAAGTCCCTGCACCATCAACAGAGGAACTTCTACAACACCTACGGACTCGCGGTGATGGTAAAATAAAACATTATCTGCCTTACATCTTCCACACAATAGTCCATTGCTAATTGAGTTTATGTTTTATTTACAGGTAAAACTTTGCCACAGACATAGGTGTTGGGGGAGGCAAGAGAAAACCCAAAACCTTCTTTATTTTTGTTTCCTGTGTTTTATTTATTTATTTTTTTTAAATAAAGATATATTTTGGGGAAATAAGGACTAATAATTTAAAAATGTATGTAAAATGTTGGAGGTAGACATAAGTTTTTGTTGTTGTGCAGGAGTTTTAACACTTATGGTATTTTTACAAATGCAACAGAGAGTTATGCTTTATAACACTTTATTAGAGCATCAAACAAAACTATATAAAAAACAAACTTATGTAAAACATCAAATATATACATTTATTTACAATCGTCTTGGGATAAAACCAGTGTAGTTACCATTGGGGTCAGGGAATTTTTCCCTTATCCTCCAGACAACGCAGCTTGGGATTTCTACTCTGCGTCCTCCACCAAGTTTTCCATGCTGCCATGCTACAAACTGTCTGTAAGCTGCATGGCGGAACTGTCTGTTGTCCTCACCAGGGTCCGGGTCATCATAAACTGCTCGAAACTCATTCCACAATGTTCTGGCCAGGCGAAGAACACCATTTTGCAAAAATAAACTCCTCCATGTGTGGTACAGTTGAAATACATGTCTGGGGAGGCTGTTGGCAGCATTTCTTTTCCAAATCAGTTGGCATATCTCTGCAGTGGGAGCATACACACCATGAAGGTTGATTGAATGTTGAGGTGTTGTGGCAGGTGGACCAGAGAGGGCAAGTACATCAAAGAGAACACCAGTGTCTGTCCAGCACCATGGTAAGGATGTCAATAGCCTGCTGAGGGTTCAGGTTCTGTATGCGTTGCTACAAAAGTGGAAAGAGATGCTACAGCAACAGTTTTTAGGATCATTTAGTGTAATTTTGTTATGCTTACACGTTCAAAGTCTATTCGCTCGGAACGAAGATTCTGAACTCGAGAGAGATCTTCATCTCCAAGGTCCACAGCTGAGTGTCTCGCACTTCTTCGGCCTCTGGATGCACCGCGGCCTCTAGACACACCACGGCCTCTGGATGCACCACGGCTTTGAGATGATGGTGGGCATCTCCTTTTTGCACCACGTCTTGAGGATGCATTAGGAGGTTCAAACTCTTCCTCAGAGGATTCCTCAATCACTGAACTCTAAATTGTATTAGAATAAAAAAAATTATACTAATATAAAAAGTACTCTTGCATATTAATCAATTTTGACACATCAGGTTTACATCTAGTCAAAATGTGGGCTAAAGCAACAATAACCAGAAACCCTATGAAAACAACCATGATTATAGGAGGACTACACAGAATGCAGTGTTTATTCATGATTTCCACATAAATTATTTATATGCTTTGATATATTCATCCCATCCTGAATGGCAAAGCAATTAAAAATAAGCTAATTACTCCTAATAAATGCTAACAATTTGATAGGATTAATTTTATTTACAATATAGATTGCCAACTGTTACTGGTATTTTAAAATATAAATATATTTATAGATATTCTTTATAAAATGCCTTTTGTAAACAGTAAGTTTTTAATGTGCTGGTTAAATACAACTTTCTTACCTCAGATAACTCCATTGCTAACACTAGCTCAGCTCTTTTACAAGAAGCAATGCTCCGATGTTGACTCTGCTTTTCCTGCGCGTGCACATTGGGAGGTGTGGCTTTCGGCTCTTTCAGGAAGGGCGGGGGAGTGAGCAACAGCCGTTCGAATTTAAAAATCTCCTCCTCACCCTGACGGCGTCATCCTGCGTACTGTGCCTTTAACATAATTCACGGCCCAAATCCAACAGAACCGGTCGGGCTGATTCGGTTCCAGTTCGGTCTCAGGTTACAACTCAAGGGCTCAGCCCTGCAGTACCACATTAAGGCGGAACCACTTGGTAAATGTGGAGGACACTCACTCTGACAGATTTGGATCTGCGCTGGTGCCGCCATTAAAAAAACAAAACTACATTCCACTATAATCGATTATGGCGTACTCCTCTACGATGCAGAATCGTTTATGTCCGCATCCCGATGCATCGATTATTTGATTATTTTCCTCAGCTCTAGTGTTTGTGTATGACTGTAAATGTCAGGTGGGGCCTTTGACTCCTCCCCTCTCCTGGAACTTCTTTTGATGATATAGATATTCGTCCCCCTTGCACACCTGGTGTGAGGGGTTGTGCCTTGGTCTGCCTGAGTGTTCGTGGCAACCGGGCCAGGGGGTTTAAGATTTTGGCATCTGCCTGATAGATCCCGGTGGCTGCCTGGTGGGGTCTGGGTCCCTGGGCTCTGCTGGGTCCGCGGCGGGGGTGGTCGCCCCTGGGTCCCGGGTCGCTGGGTCCCGGGCTCGGCCGGCTAGGGGGTGGGAGGCTGCGGGCGGGCCTGTGGGCTTGCCGCTGATGTCTCCCGGGACTCTGCCGGCTGCTGGTTGTGGCCCCCTGGGGCGATCCTCTGTGCCTCTCGAGGGGGCCGGTGGCCTTTCTAGTTGCAGTCTCCTTGGGGTTCCTGTGTTCTGGGGCAGCGCCTGGATCTCTGGGACTTGGAGCTCCCCCCGTCTCCTGTGCATCTTTGGGGGGCAGATCTGTGGTCCCTCACACTCTGTTGGACGCTCCTATAGAGAAACCTTACATAAACAAGCACGTGTACACACACAGGTGCTCACATGGTGCTCTCAAAAGTATGGGCTTGGGCACGTTAAACACAGGTCTTAAGACTATGGTGGGCACTTAATGCACTGTGATTTATTATCGTGATTCTTCAGTCAAGCAATGTTGATTATATATTTCTTCATCAAGTTGACGCAGTGATAGCTTGATCTTGTTGTATTGTTGTTGTATCCCATTTTTTTTGTCCTTTTGCTTTTTTTTTTGTCTTTTTCTGCAGGTCTAGAAGAAGACTCTTGTTCATTATTGTTTATTTTTGTGGGACCCCCCCCCCCTCCTCTCTCCCCACCTTCTATTTTCCTTTCTCTTTCACCTCTGTCTCCGTGTCTAGTCGGAATTACAAAGCATTCAAAAACAATAACAATAAAGTTTTAAGTATCCGGCGTGACATTAAAAGCAGACGCTTTGATGCTCCACCTGAGTGTAAATCTGTAAGGCTTGTTACCAACATTCAGACATCAATTCTGTTTGCTTCACAGCCAGACAGGACATGGTAAAAAAAAAAAAAAAGAGAGAGAATACAGGAGGGGGCTCAGCACACAGCCCTGTGGGGAGCCGGTGCTCAGTGTGCGAGTGGGGGAGAGATGAGGGCCGAGTCTCACAGTCTGGGGCCGGTTTGTGAGGAAATCCTTTATCCTGGCACATGTGAGAGGAGGGAGGCCAAGAGTGACCAGTTTGTTGATGAGGATGTCCGGGATGATTGTATTAAAGGCTGAGCTGTAGTCCACAAAGAGCATTCGGACGTAGCTCTGCCGCTGGTCTAGGTGACTCAGCACAGCGTGGAGGGCTGTGGCAATGGCGTCTTCTGTTGATCTGTGTGCACGGTATGCAAACTGGTGGGGGTCGAATTCTGGGGGGAGGTGATCCTTTATGTGCTGAAGGAGAAGTCTCTCAAAGCATTTTATGATTACCGGTGTGAGGGCCGCAGGGCGGTTATCATTTAAGCTGGAGATGGGAGACTTCTTCGGTACTGGGATGATTGTGGCTGATTTTAGACAGGACGGGATGGCTGCCTGATCCAGTGAGAGGTTGAAGATTCTGGTGAAGATGAGGCTGAGCTGGTGTGTGCATGCTCTTAGTACTTTGCCAGGTACTCCGTCTGGACCGGCCGCCTTCCTGGGGTTCACTGCTAGGAGCACACGTCTGACATCATGCTTCGTTACAGTGAGTGGAGCGGTGTAAGAACCAGATGAGGATGGTAGCAGGGCTGAAGCAGATGAGTGTTGCTGCTGTGGTGTTTCAAAGCGGGCAAAGAAGCTGTTTATTTCCTCTTCCAGCTGCATACTCAGGTTTTCAATTTTTGCAGTGCTGCTTCTGTGGTTGATGATGTCTCGCATTCCCTGCCATACCTCTCGTGTGTTGTTGCTGGACAGGTGGGACTCGATATTCCTTTTGTGGTCTGACTTGGCTTTTTTTATCCCCCTTTTCAGGTTAGCTCGAGCAGCCCTGTACAGAGCTCTGTCACCTGACCTGAAGGCAGCATCACGGGCTTTGAGGAGTGAGCGGACCTCGCTGGTCATCCAGGGTTTTTGATTTGGAAAAACTCAAATGCTTTTGTCCACTGTCACATTTGCAGTACAGAACTTGATGTAGTCCAGTACTGATCCTGTGAAAGTTTCTAGGTCCTGGTGTTCAAATATGTCCCAGTCTGTCTCTGTGAAGCAGTCTTGTAATTTGTTGAGAGCATTTTCTGGCCAGGTTGTAACAGTCCTTGTGGTGGGCCTGGCACTGCGCCTGAGGGGGGTGTAGGCTGGGGAGAGCAGGAGAGAGAGATGGTCGGACTGACCGAAGTGGGGGAGGGGTATGGCTCTATATGCATGCTTGATGTTGGAGTAAACATGATCTAGAGTGTTTTCTCCTCTGGTGGGACATTTGACATGCTGATAGAACTTTGGGAGTACAGTCTTTATGTTGGCCTTGTTAAAATCACCTGCAATAATGTGAACCCCATCTGGGTGGGCCCGCTGCTGTTCGTTAATGGTGTTCAGCAGGATAGAGAGCGCCGTGTTTACGTTGGCATCGGATGGGATGTACACAGCGGTGATGATCACTACTGTTAGCTCTCTCTGTAGAAAAAAAGGCAGGCATCTTACCGACATGTACTCGAGGTTCGGGGAGCAGTGACTGTTTATAATTGTCCCATTGTTACACCAGCTTTCATGCACATAAATACAGAGCCCTCCCCCTCTGCTCTTACCGGAGTCCTTTTTCCTGTTCCAGCGAAGCAGAGTGCGGCCTGCTAGCTGAACGCTAGCATCGGGTATTCCCGGGTGAAGCCAGGTTTCCGTAATAATCAAGGCACAGCAGTCACGAACATAGTGATTTCCCACTAGTTGTAATTCCAGGTAGTCCGTTTTTTGCACGAGGGATTTAGCGTTGGAGAGATAGAGGCTCGGCAGAGGTGGCTTGTGTAGTTTGTTTTTTAGCCTCAGCATGATGCCGGACCTGCGGCCCCGCTTTTCTTCCTTTCCCTTCGTCTGCGCCTCCGCTTAGTCCCGATAACAGTCCACGGGGAGCCCGGTGGTCTCGCCACATGATCTGGGATGTTGTGCGTGCAAAGGAAGTCCAGTGAAACAGATGTTTGATGCTGATCACCAATGTCTATGAGGCTCTGGCGGGTGTAGAAAACTTAGAAAGTAGAGCCGATGGTGCAGAAAAAAATAAGAAAGACATACAAACTAAGCAAACTAAACAAAAAAAGGGAGTACTGAGCCGTAAGCCGCTGCAGCCGTGTGCACCGCCATCTTGGAAGATGGCTTGGAACATGTGAGCACCTGTTTGCGTACACGCACTTGTATGTGTAAGATTTCTGTATAAGAGTGTCCAATAGTGAGTGTGAGGGGCCACAGATCTGCCCCCAAAGATGTGCGGAAGATGGAGGGAGCTCCAAGCCCCAGAGCTCCAGGAGCTGCCCCAGAGTGCAGGGACCCCAGGGAGACTGTCACCAGAGAACCCCAACCCCGCTCAAGGGATGCAGAGGACTGCCCCGGGGGTCACAACCAGCAGCCGACAGAGTCCCAGGAGATAACAACGGCAAGCCCCCCAGGCCCGCCCAGAGCCCCCCACCTCTTAAGTCGACTGAGCCTGGGACCCAGTGCCCCGGGACCCAGGGGCGACCAACCCCGCCGGTAGGGATGGGTACCTTTGACATTTGAATCGATCCGGTACTAATTACCGGTACCTACGAATCGATACCGGTACTTAACAGTACCAATTTTCGATACTTTTGAGTGTTTATTATTTTAATTCTCTTTTATAATTAAATATATATTTTTCTCAATATAACAATATTTGATAAATATCACGATAAATAACATACAACTGTTTGTATTTTAACATCGTCCTTGTACTTTTATAAGCTGATGATTAAACTGAAGCAAACATCTTTACTGTGAACTAAATTTACTGTGTATCTTCATTCCTTTTGCCATCTTTTTTCATTTGATTTTTCCTACTGGGAAGTTAGAATTTCCGAGGAGAAAGCGAACGCACCATTAGCTGATAACAGTGGTAGCAATGGAAGCTAACATATCAAGCTAACGATATCTTAAACAGTTTATTTAGCTGCTGGAGCAGATTAAAACGATGCCTCACTCTTAGATCATCACTGGTTTCGTCTTCACCCGTCACATTTAGTAAAGTGAAGCCAAACTTTAGAGCGCGTTCATGTTCTTCTAGTCGGAAATTCGGAGTTCCGAGGAGAAAGCGAACGCACCATTAGCGAAACGGAAGCTAACATATCAAGCTAATTATATTTACCTACCGGAGCAGATTAAGATGAGGATGTCTCACTTACATAGTTGTCGCTGGTTTCATCATCCAGTTACCCATCACATTTAGTGAAGTGGACCCAAGCGCTAGCGTGCGTTCTCTCTACCATGCTGCTCTGTTTACAACTGGTTCACAGCAAGCGACAACAAAACGCTCTTGTGCATGCGCAGCTGTCTTGGCAAGTTCTCGTTATGAAGGACGGGTACCGAAACGAGGCACCGTTTGAAATGACGTGAATCGGTGCTCGGTCGGTACTATGGAATTCAGTCGGTACCTTAAAAAGTACCGAATTCGGTACCCATCCCTACCCGCCGGTGACCCATCTGAGCCCAGGCAGCCACCGGGAGCAAAGACAGATGCCAAAAATCTTAAGGCCCCTGACACTGGGAGCCACGAACACGCTGGCAGACCGAGGCTCCACACTCGGCAGCAAATGTGGCAGGGGGAGGGCAGGCGAAGATGTGTGGTAGCACAAGAATACCCAAGAGAAGGGAAGAGTCCAAAACCCCACCTTACATACATAGTCATTGTTTAGGTAAATTTGCTTACTAACATCGACCAAAGAACTCAGACTGGAAATTCGGTTGAGTATTTCAGATTACACTTTCTGCAGAAAGAGGAGCCAGACGGAACACGCAGTTGCATGTGTGAGTTTCCAAGCTGACTCCAAATCTTTCAGCTTCGGAGCATATTTTTATTCACACATAGGCATAGTTACAAAGTTGCACAAACATTTGTCTCACCCCCGACTCATGGCCCGAGCGAGCACCTTAAGAGTTGAGAATTTTTGGAGCATCCTTTTCTGAGATACCAAATTCTGAGATAACAAAGATGCGTTTAGAGTGCTGTTTACAGAAATAAGAAAAACATACCATCTACTCACCCATGGCAACCAGACAACTTAACCTCTCTTTTTCTCTAACAGTCATACACAAACACAGTCACACACTCCGTCCCTCATGCTCACACATAAACATACAACCGGAGACTTACAAAAATGAACGCTAGACACCCACTCACGCTCCCTATACACACCCTATTCACTCTGGTCTTGGAACTGCTGCACAGACGGTACAACCATCCCATGGCCAGAATCAGCCCCGTTCTGCTCAGGTGATGATGAGCAGGCACCCCACCCAACTCTGAGCAAAGCAACTCATCGCCCCAGACCCCAAACAGATGGCCAGCTCCCACTCCGCTCATTGTAAACTTCAGTAAAGAACTAAGATGATTATTAAGCTGCTGTTTGCTTTTCCTTTGAAGCGAGGTTGTCTGTCACCACAAACAAATGTTTTGAGTGTTTAGTTTTTACTTGCACAAAATGAAAATTAATCTGAGAGCTCGTTAATTTCCCCAAAAATATTTAGATGCATTAGATGATTAAAAAAAAGTTTTTTTAATTGTCAAATTAATCAACATTTTCTTTTTTCTCTTTTCCTGTCTAGATCTTCCACAGCATCATGTCTGGGAAAAGGAGAAGGATTCGACTGCCCAGCAGCTCTTTAACCAGGAGTCGATCTCCTGTTCAGACCAGGAAGAACCAGAACAGCTAAAACTTTGCCAACATGAAGGACAGCTCTTCCTGAACCAGGAAAATCTTACCTTCACGGATACTCCTCTGTCTGAAGAAACAGACTGTCATGAACCAGAACCAAACAGGAACCAGCCATTGTGTCAGAGTTCTACAGATCCTGAGAACCAAGATCAGGGTGGATGCAGGAATGAAAACTCAGAATCAAATGGCAATGAAGAACTGAAACTGAATAAAAGGCGTCAGCGAAGCAAAGATCACAGAGACAGTGTAGGTGGTGAAAGACAAAAAAAGCACAAAGGGGCTCACAGTGGTGGGAGATCATTTTATTGTAAGCTATGTAGAAAATCTTTCAGTCACAAATCTTATTTAAATATTCACATGAGAACTCACACAGGTGAGAAGCCATATTCTTGTAAAACTTGTGGTAAATGTTTTAGAACCAGTGGTGAATTAACTACACACATGAGAATTCACACAGGTGAGAAGCCTTATCCATGTAAAACTTGTGGTAAATGTTTTAGAACCAGTGGTGAATTACCTACACACATGAGAAGTCACACAGGTGAGAAGCCATATCCATGTAAAACTTGTGGTAAATGTTTTACTATCAGTGGTCACTTGACTAGACACATGAGAACTCACACAGGTCAGAAGCCATATTCTTGTAAAACTTGTGGTAAATGTTTTACTATCAGTGGTCACTTGACTAGACACATGAGAACTCACACAGGTGAGAAGCCATATTTATGTAAAACTTGTGGTAAACGTTTTAGAACCAGTAGTGAATTAACTACACACATGAGAAGTCACACAGGTCAGAAGCCATATTCTTGTAAAACTTGTGGTAAATGTTTTACTATCAGTGGTCACTTGACTACACACATGAGAATTCACACAGGTGAGAAGCCATATCCATGTAAAACTTGTGGTAAATGTTTTAGAACCAGTGGTGAATTAACTACACACATGAGAACTCACACAGGTGAGAAGCCTTATCCATGTAAAACTTGTGGTAAATGTTTTAGAACCAGTGGTGAATTAACTACACACATGAGAGCTCACACTGGTGAGAAGCCATATTCATGTAAAACTTGTGGTAAATGTTTTGGAGACAGTTGTCACTTGACTACACACATGAGAACTCACACAGGTGAGAAGCCATATTCATGTAAAACTTGTGGTAAATGTTTTACTATCAGTGGTAACTTGACTAGACACATGAGAATTCACACAGGTGAGAAGTGATTTAATCTATGAGATTCATTAAGGCATTTTCTTTACCTTCTGATTTGAAAATTCACACTTGAGATTGTATTCATTAAAATATGTTTGGCAACATATCATAGATGCCTTACAGTGCTCAAGTCATGGGTGGAGACTTATTTCATCCACACTTCCTGTTAGAAAAACTCTTCTGAAAAGTAATTAGCTGACATCACATTTTGTAGCTTAGCCAGCTTGCCTTAAGAATGCAAATGGGATTGAGCTTTTGTGAGAGTCGAGTTAACTACACAGCATCAACGATAATGAATTGCGCTTGCGGGAAGCCTCCCACAGGCTGATTCTTGCTGCCAATCGGGGTTGGTAATGGTAGGCATGCTTTTGAGTTAGCCAGTCAGTCAGCAGTGGGCGTGTCTTCCCTGTTCGGCTCCAGGTGGACCTCCTTGGGAAGAGGGCTGAAAAGACATCTGGAGTGAGAAAACTCTTAACCCATGCCATTATTTTACTCAGATCTTTAACTTGTGGTCACATCTGCCTTAAAAATGTTCTTGCTTTATACCAGTGTCCCTCAATAGGCGGTCCAGACCTGGCCTGAGAACCTTCAAGTTTTCAATTCTACTCTGCTTGGCCAGGGAGCACATTGCTTGTGATGTGGATGAGGCGCTGTGGCCAGATAAAAACAGAAGAGCGGATGCAGCACAGTTGTTTATTTATTTTTTTCTTTATTCGTTTTAGCTTAACTATTAATTATAGTCTTCTGTTTGTATATGTAGACCACTGCATAGGCAACTCTGTGTTGGTTTGGATGAACACTGCTGTTTTTGTGTTAAAACACACAAAAGTATATTTTGTAACGTGTTTGTGAGTTTTGTACACAAACATTCTGAAATATTTTATGTACAATGCACTGTCGTAGTACAGTAGGTGTAACACTGAACACAATAAGTCGTTATGATGACTGGAGAAGAAGTGGTCATAATGTTTTTCACATCAGAGTTAATCTGGTTCTTATAAATGTTTACTCATGTAATGGTTTGCGTGTCATTTGGAAACCAAAGACCATTTTGAGAAGAATGTGCGTGTTTTTGGATTCGTGTGTAGTTATAAAAATATATTGCATGCTTTCAAAAAACGTGAGTAAACAACTGTGAATAACTGTAATTGTAATTATGTGTGAAAAGTGTTTTCCAGTTTAACAAGTTGGTATGAAAAGTAGGGCAGCTGACTACAGTTTTTAATGGCAGCGTGTTTGTTGTGAAAATGAGATTTCTTTCATGATTTCCTTGACAAACGTGTGTTTTTAAACTGTAATGTAAGTGTGAAGCAGAGATTGTGCTGGTAGTTTAGCAGAACTGGTTAGGGGAGTTGGCACATCAGTTACATGTTGTAGTCACTGTGCCAGATATAAAAATAATTGTGTGTAAACAACTGTAACAGCGTTAACATTAATGGAGGGATCATATATAGTTTAATCATTTTCAAATATAGAGAACAATGGTTTTTGATTAGTATATTGATCTTAATGAAATATGCCAATTGGCTATGTAAAATATCAGATTAATTACACAAAAATGCTGTTTTTCCTCAGATGAATGGTCAGTGAAGCCAAACAATATATGTTTAAAGGTGCAATATGTAAGAATATAGTGAAAATTCTACAGTGAGAAAATCCCCAATGAATGTAATGTTCAGTCATTTTGGAAGGAAGGTTGTACTGAAACATATTTCATATCCAGCAGCCGGGTTATGTTTGAGGTTGAAATGGCTCTGAGGGACAGACACAACCAGGTTGGAGTGGATGCAGGGGACAAGCTGAGTTTTGTGGCAAGGAGAAAGGGTAAGAAAAGGCCTCAGGAGTTAGATGATGAAATATCATGAGCACACTTAATCACAACAGTCGCAAAACTTGTCTCTGAGGGTGTTAGCGGTGGGAAAACATCAACAGCAGTCAGCTTCTGTTGACGTTACACACAAAGCTGAGAGCTAAGCAGAAGTTCCCGTGAAGCCGCTAGACACACACAGACGGGGCCCCTCAATTGCTTCTGCTCCGCTGTATCCCTGCCACCTCCTTACAGGTATGACAGCTCTGCTGTGTGTGAGCATGGACTCCAAGCTCCTGTCTTTAAGGTAACTGGAGGCCTAATTGAGGATCAAGAGGTTGTTTCGCCCACACTCGTGCAGGAAAAAGTGCTAGTTGACTTAAACTGACCCAAACAAAAAGGAACTTGAAACCTTGGCCACCCAAACCGCGAGCCAAATGAGGGAACACTCACTTCTCACTCTTCCACATTTTCTCTGACATCACACTTTCTATAGACACAGTCATGATTCAGTATGTTGATGACATTTCAATAGCCTCCACACCTGCTCAGACTTGTCTGTCAGACACTCACTCCATTCTGTCCATGCTCGCTTCGGCTGAGTTCAAAGTTTCCAAAAACAAACTAGTGTTGTAGGTCTGTGGTGTCATTTTTGGGCCACCTCGTGTCACGGACCGGTCATGAAATGTCTCCCTCCCACCGCTCCTCCATTTTACACCATCCCCTGCCTGTCACTGTGAAAGACATGCTGTGTTTTTTGGACCTCACTGGCTATAACCGTCAGTTCATTCCTGATTATGCAGATATGACCCCCTTTTGCTTGCGTTAGTGAACAAACAGGGTATGAGAAATCTGTCTGTACCTTTATCCTGGACTTTTGACTCTGAACAATCGCTCATTGCTCTCAGGCTCTTGCTACCTGTTGAGAGGAGACTTGTGGCAGACTCGGTGGTCACATTTTCGAGTCTGGGCCAAGCTCATCTCTGTGAAAACCTCTGACCTCCTGCCATTCCGCTCCTGCACACAGGCCCCAGCTCCTGAAATGTGTGTGAACTCTGCACTTCCGCTCCTGACTCTGAAGTGTGTGCGTGGGCCTCTGCCCTGCACCCGCTCTGCACTCAGTTCTGTGGAACAAGCTGACTGGGTCTAACAGAACCAAGAGGTAAGAGGTGTGAACGCTGCATGTGTAAAGAAGAACAGGAAAAGAAGATGGGGACAGGAAACCACAGAAAGTCACACCAGAAGAATGGGCCTGCAAGAGAGGCGAGAGGCAGTTTTTGTGCTGCAAAAATAAAGATGTGAATTTTCCTCTCAACGGGTGTTAAAAAGTTGACGAGACAGTAACAGATCAGGAAGAATGAAAAAAATATTGTAATGCATAATGTGGGAGGGGGGAAATAAAAGTGTTTGGGGTTCCTGTCAGGGAGAGAGTTGGTGATTGACAGTTGAAGTGTGTGTTACACAGAGAGAGCTTGTTTTCCCGCGGATCTGCTAGACTCGGGTTTTTGATAAGAGCTTTTCCTATTTTGCCTACGCTATTGTTCCTTGTTTGATCTGCTCCAGCAGCCAGCCTCCCGCTGGCTCGCGTTGATCAGAGCAGCAGCAATGAGCTCTGTCCTTCACAGCCAGTGAACTGGACAAGGAACAGTTAAGTTTTGTTTTTCACTGAAACGTATAGTTTTTGAGCTGGTTGTTGTGGTTCGTTCTGCGCATGTACAGAACCGTGCTCTGCCTTGGCGGTGACGTCATCACATTGTTTCCCTATGCAAAGCATCATGGGAAATGAAGTGCCTCTGATGCTGATGATGGAATATGCTCTTTCAGAGCAATTTCTAGCACAGTCTCTGGAGAAAATCACTGCAGTAATTTCCTCATGAGGTCAGACCCTCAACATTTATATATATATATATTAGGGGTGGGCCGTTATCGGCGTTAACGCGCTGCGGCAAAGCCAGACTCTTATCGCGCGATAAAAAAAATGACGCCGTTAATCTATTCTCAAAGTTGGGCTGGGATCTGGGTCTATACTAAGTAAACTATGATGACTTTCACATTGCGCGGATGGATACCTGGTTGGCGCGGATGTGTACTCGGCGCAGATCATCGTACGTATGGACGGACGCCAGGCTCGCGGAGTTTAATGTTCCCCATGCAGCCGAACAGTCGCACAGTCGCCACCAGCAGCGCTTCTCCCATCTCATCGTGCGGGACAAGTAAATAATTTATGTACTTTAACCAGAGTTTAATCCATAAATCCGACTTTCATTCTTTTTATTTTATTTTGTTTACCCCCGACATTTCCAGCCGGGCTTTCCCCGGGCCACACTTCACCGTCCGCGGCCGAAGCAGCGCTCGGATGTGAGAAAACCGAGACAAAACTTTCTCAGACAGGTGCGGTTTCCAACTAAGTTTAGCTATTTTAGCAGCTGTTTATTGTGATAAAGAGATAAATTGTTTCTACAGGTCGTTGTTCATGTGGCTTCGACTCAAATTTACCTGTAATAATAAACATTTTACTCATAAATTCTTATATTTATTTAGAAAAGTTCAGCTAGGATAACTCCCCTTGCCATTTTCAGAGACAACAACAGCAACAGTTGGCTTCTGCTCATACAGGTGAGCTGTGGCATCATTTCCAGCTCTCGCTCCTATTCACCAGAGGCGATCCTACATGCAAACTAAAGGGGGGCATTGGAAGGGCACCCCAGAAATTTAACCCCCTCCCCAGGCCAGATAGTTTCTGTGTGTGTATGTATGTATGTATGTCTGTATGTGTGTGTGTGTGTGTGTGTGTGTGTGTGTGTATCTATATACTTTTTTCTTTAGCAGGCCATATTGTGTAGAAGAGAAGAACTAGTTTGTCACCAGACAATGTGAACAAGCTGGTCTGCTTGAGTGACTGGTGGAAGAAGGAGAAATAGAGCTTGGACTGACTGACCAAATGCTACTAACTGTAAATAGTTAATCATGACCTATTCTGTTGACCTACAGTGCAGAATTTATTGAACTGAATAAACAGCTATTAAACACAAATACTTATTGATCATTATTTATTTTCATCATCAGTTATCGTAGTAAAACTGCTTTATCAGTCTGTGATGCATTACTGAAACAAGAAATACGCCTCCATTCTCAAAGACTTGCTTTTATTCATTATCTAGGTAGCACACACATATGCCTTTGGCAGAATTTGAATGTGCCATTTTAATCTAGATTAATCTAGATTAATTCCAAGATTACAGTGAGATTAATCTAGATTAAAAAAATTAATCTATGCCCACCACTAATATATATATTGGTGAGAAGCTCTGCCGAGCGGTGGAGGCGACAGAAAGGCTGTGGGCTGTGTTTCAATCGCCCAAACAGAACGGAAGCAGCCGGCCAATTGCTGACAAGAAAATCAAACGGTAGGAATGGGAATCAGCGTCAACGTCGATTCAGAAGCATGATGGGCGATAGAGCTACCGCCAAAGGCTTTCGTTGGTGTTCGGTAGAACTCGGCAGTCTCGACTACTCCAGCACGTTTTTGGTCATGACGCAGATGTAATAGACATGGACGCCAGTGAGCCTACAACCAGCATGGATACCGGATCTCAGCAGCCACTGAATTCAGTTTGGTCTCTTCTCCAGTATCCGTTCGAGAGGAGAACTATGGTGAAAAAACTTTATGTCAAAGAGCTTGGACCAGATCAGCCCGACGTAAAGATAAGCCAGCAGAAGGAGAGAGGTAAACTGTACACACGAGGCTTCTCCCGAAATTGGTACACCAGGAAGGCTTGGCTAGCTGGATGCAATCACGCTAATGCGTTATTTTGCTTTCCAAACCACTGGGACAGATAAGGCATGGATTGAGTCAGGAGTTACGGACATGGAACATTTTTCTGAGAAGGTGAAGAAACATGAGTTATCCCGGGCACGCATAGACAACACGGTGAAGCTAGCTATGCTAGGCAGAGCTAACATTGCCATGCAGCTAGAGACGAGGGGCGCAGGCTTGCAGTGAATAAACACAATGAAGAAGTGGATCAGAACCGGCACATTTTGATGAGATGTCAACACAGTGTATGAGCACAAGGATGACCTCCTCAGATTTTTCCAGATGATCAGAGACTCTGATGACTTTGATTCAATCACTGAGAGAGAGGCAGGAGGCTTTGTGAGAATGCTGGAGGAAGAAGATTTCGGCTTTCTGCTGGCATTGTGTCACAAGATCATGCCACATGTGGACATGCTGTTCAACCAGCTGCAGAAGAGGAACATTGACTCTGTCTACATCACAGGGGTCATCCAGAGCTTCAACAACAGCATGCAAAAGATCAGGTACATACTTGTTTATTTAATATTATTGTGATGAAATTCTCCAGTATGTTAGTTTCACAAACAATGTGGATGTGGACCATTTATGGTCATGTTATTTTATGTGCAATTTAATGCAGTATTTTTCAACCTTGGTCCGCAAGGTAGTGTGCCAATAGTCAGACACACGTGGATTAATCCCTTTGTCCAATAATGTAAGACAGGAAATAAAAGAGCTGTGCTTAATTCAGGAAATAGTGAAGTTGTGCACAAAGCTCAGAAAGCACAAGTTTGTTTAAAAAAAAAAAGCACAGCCCCACCAAAAATATTTTTCACCAGCCGCCACTGCTACTAACCTTTACCTCATTTAACCAAATTATAAAAATCAATTGGATAAAAAGATTCATTAAAGCCCTAATAGCATGTGGAATATTGTCCCAAATAATCTATTTAATGCTGTTGGTGGACTTAACTTTCTGTTGATATGTCCTTTCTCAGTAGGAAAACTCCCGGTTAAACTAAGTAATTTTCATAAACAAGCTTTATTATGTTGGAATTTTATCTTTAAACACAATTTCTCACCTCACAATTGTATTATTTGGAACAATACATATATCGTAAACAAAAATAAAACACTCTTTCTACACAATTGGTCATTAAATAATGTAAACACTGTGAATAATCTGCTAAATCCTAAGGGTGAAACATTAACCCACAAAGACTTCTTATAAAAATATAATATTAATACTTCACAAGAAGAGTATAACATGGTAATTAAATCCATCCCTGTTTGTATTTTCTATTTAGCACAGACCATAGAATCAAACATTATCTTATCTGCAGCAGTCAGACCTCCAACTGTTTCCGGGATTCCAATCACAGAAATGTAATAATTCTGTTATTAGAAAAGCAATTGATCCTGTCTCAACCCCGATATGTAAACACCGATGGACTTTGATGAACACAAAACTCTGGAACAGGATCTTTTTGCTACCTCACCAATATGTCATTGTGAATTAAGATAAAAGAAGTTTTATTCAAAATTGTTCATAGATATTACCCGTCAAAAGCAAACATCTGTATTTTTTTTTCAAATGTTTCTGACATCTGTACTTTTTGTGGTTGTAAGGGAGAAACTATTGAACATGTTTTTGTTGATTGCTTTCATGTAACTTTGTTTTGGTTCCATTTACAAAGATACATTTCCAAAAGTTACAAACAAATATTTCTTTAAGCAAATATGAAATACTTCTTATTGTTACTAACCCTAATTTTTCATCCAATGAAAAATACATAATTAACTTAGTCATTATTTTAGCAAAATATTATTTACATAAAATGATTTTAAAGAAAAGTATCCCCTCCTCCTATAATTTCAGAATGACAGACCTTATGAAATATTGGAACAGCATTGAGACATTAAAAAAGAAGAACAACAAACAAACAAAGACCATAAACTTATTTCATCATTTCAACTTAGACACAGCAGACCCCTAAGTGTTATGTTTCTAAGTTATTTATGTTTTTGTCAGTTTTTCGTTTATTTTTTTGTTTAATAGTTTCATAATGTTGCATATATGTTATTGCATTTGTATACAACTGTAAAATGTGATACATGGATATAATGAATTGAATAATTGAATGTCTTTTCTGAATGTATCGACAATAAGTTAATAAAACCTGTAAAAAAAACCCATAAGCATCCTTCCTGTGGATTCGGACACACCCCTTGTGCCGACACCGGCAAAAGTAGGATCGATTCTATTTTTGCCGGACGCCGGAGCACCTCCGCAGTCAACGGACAGAAACCACAACCGCCCAACAGGAAAAAGAGCAAGCACAGCTTCTGTTATTCCACAATAAATCGATAACAAAAAGCGGTTTTTTTGTTGTTTGTTTCAAATGCACAGGTTTAACAACTTTTAACAACTATCAATGGCGGTTGAACTTTAAATGCACAAAATAAGCCATAAATACAGTTTACACCAGTGCTGGACTGACCATAGGGCATAGCGGGCAACTGCCCGCTGGGCCGACCCTTTCATCTTTTATGGGCCGGTGCCTGTTTTTTTTTTTTTTTTTTTTTTTCCTGGCCTCTAGTTGTTGTGGACAACTTGTCCGCGCCGCCCCAAGCGACGCCTCGTAAAAGTTGGTGGATTGGCCAATTGGTAATAATACACTCTGGGCTGGACCAATAGCCAGAGGTCTGTCTGATGCACCCGCCAGTTGTTTGTGAATCTCAGTAAACAGACAGACGAGCTTAACAAAATGGAGAACAAAAAACGGAAAGGAGGAGCGGAGAAAATTCAACAAAAAAGAAACTGGCCCTTCAGGCTGATGCTGGCACTTGTGTTAAAATCTCACAGTTGTTTGGTAGTGAAGGTTCAAGTAAAATCAATTTAGGAAGTGATGGAGCCTCAGCCCAGCGACAGGTTGGAGAAGAAAAGAGGGAGGAGGAGGAGAAACCCGAGCTGGTGTTGTGCCATAAATTCACTCGCTGCCAAAAAATGATTAGCCACCGCGGGATCGCGCACGGTTAGGTAATTGCATTTCTAGACAAAATTCCCCAGGATTTCGCCCTAAAACTCAGCATATCTAGCAATATGGACATTCAGAAAGCAAAGATAACCTCTTCCGGTACTTAAACAGATGTTTATCGCGGATATTAGTGTGGCAGTGTTTGTGGCACCCTGCGCGGGAGCACGAGGACGTGCTTGTGGAAAGAGGGAGGAAGATGTGGCAGTATGAGCATCCACAATGTCCCGATTGATCATGCGCCCTGGCTACTTGACCAAGGAGATGTCCCTTTGGCTGACTGGTTAGAGCGTATGACTCTCACCTGGTAGTCTGGGGATCGAATCCTGCCCGGGCGCTTGTTTCTGCACCTTGCCACATTAGTTTTTCCAGTTCGGAAGTTGTTTTAAGTGTTGCTATTTGTCTTAAACGTTCACAATGAGGATATATTAATCCTTTTTGCAATATTTGCGATTGAAAGATGGTTTGTGCCACAAACTTTGTGGTAAGACCTGGCTTTCTTTATGTTACAGCCTTGATACTAAAAAAATAAATAAACAATGCAAAATGGCACCCTGTATTGAATGTAAACGTTGTATAAATGGAAATAAACAATTCTCCAGCGATTTAATTTTTTCCCCTTCCTTTCTTTAGTCCACTTGACATGGAGCCACAGTTAACTAGTTTGGGGCACATTTTTACTTGAAAAAAAGTATTTAAAATGATCAAGCTTTGGCTTTACAACGACACTGTGTAGGTTGCTATTCATTACGTTGCTCTATTTAAAAGTAACAAGATAAAAGCACTTCAGCACATAAAATTAAGATTGCCACTTGCCAAATAGACTACACCCTCCCGTTTACCTATAAGAAATGCCTCAAAAATATCTTTAAATTCTTTATTGATGATTTAATTGTAGACAACTAAAATGGCATTTTACTTGCCAAAAAGTGATTGAATCGCTAAAATTTTCATGGAGGCTAAAATTGACCAAATAAGGGTTTTATGTATTATCTGTTGATGTTACTGTACTCATACTGCCTGCTGTGTCATCAAAAACACCCCAAAAATGGCAACAAAAAAAAAAAAAAAAAAAAAAGAATAGAAGATAATTTCCCTTGCCAAAAATTGATTACAGTGTCCTGGTCACCTGTAAAGGGTTACATTTACCTAAATATTACTTTATTTATTATCTCTTGATGTTATTAGTGCCATCACAGGATGCCGGGTGTTTTTCACATTCATAAACATCTCAAAAATGGCAACAAATGATAATTTCCCTTGCCAAAAATTGATTACAGTGTCCTGGTCACGTGTAAAGGGTTAAATTGACCTAAATATTACCTTATTTATTATCTCTTGATGTTATTAGTGCCATCACAGGATGCTGGGTGTCTTCCACATTCATAAACACAGAGTCCTGGTCACCCATAAAGGCTTAAATTGGCATAAATATTACTTCATTTA